CGAGTAACAGTCAAGGGGGAAGCTACACTCAGGGTGCACTTCAAGGGATTTGAGGGACCCCTGGAAGTCGTAGTAGTTGAGGGAAACCACACAAGCCTCATTGGGCTTGATTGGTTTGATGCATTGGGAATCAATGTAACTGGAATAAACAGCACACAAGCAGTGGACTTAGTGGCAGTTTGCCAAGAGTTTGCTGACATTTTTAGCCCTCGCTTAGGGAAATATAAGGGTCCTCCCATAGCTCTTCGGCTTGATCCTGCCATAACTCCAATACGGATCAAGCCACGTAGAGTGCCCTTCGCCCTCAAGCAGAAGATCGATGCAGAGCTGGACATGCTGGTGCAGCAAGGCATCTTGCAGCCAGTTGATAGCAGTCAATGGAAAAACCCCATAGTTACGCCACTTAAGGCCAATGGAGAGGTGCGAATATGTGCAAATTACAAGTACACTATCAATAGAGCACTCCAACAACACACATATCTGGTGCCTGTAGTCAGCCACATTTTGGCATCACTACAGGGAGGTCGCATCTTTGCCAAGTTAGATTTGGCTCAAGCCTATCAGCAATTGCCGGTGGATGATGCCACGGTGGAAGCTCAAACCATAGTTACAGACGAGCTTTCAAGGTTAAGCGCCTACAATTGGGGGTCAGTGTTGCCCCAGGCCTCTTCCAGGGAGTGATGGAGCTCATGTTCAAGGGTATTCCAGGCGTATGCCCATATTTCGATGATGTCCTCATAGCTGGGGAATCAGTCAAAAAATTGGCAGAACGGCTCAAGGCCGTCCTTCAGCGCTTCCACGAAGTGGGGCTGAAGCCGGAGCAGGAGAAATGTAAGATTGGGGTAGCTTCAACTGAGTTCCTCAGGTTCCGTATAGATGCCCAAGGCATTCATCCTGCTGAATCCAAGCTCAAAGCAATTCAGCAGGCCCCCAGTCCAAAATCAAAGGGGGAGCTCCAAGCGTTTCTTGGACTGCTCAATTTTTATCATGCCTTCCTACCTCACAAGGTCGCAGTGGCAGAGCCATTACACCGGCTCTTGGACAAACATGCACAGTGGAAGTGGACCAGCGTCCACGATAGGAGCTTCTCAGCAGTCAAATCACTGCTGTCTTCAAATTCAGTTTTGATGCATTTTAACGAAAAGCTGCCTGCCTGCATCGCTTGTGATGCATCTCCATATGGGGTTGGGGCTGTGTTGAGTCATTTAATGGCTGATGGAAGGCAAATTCCAATAGCCTAGTACTCGAGGACCTTGTCCTCTGCAGAGCATAATTACACTAAAATAGATAAAGAGGCCTTGGCCATAGTGGCAGGGATCAAGAAGTTTCATGACTATATATATGGTAGCCCCTTCATGGTCTTCACAGACCATAAGCCACTCCTGAGGTTGTTCACAACGAACAAGCAAACGCCCCAGATCATATCCCCTAGGATGTTGAGGTGGTCAATTTTCCTGTCATCGTATGATTATAGTTTGATTCATAAACCAGGTAGAGAAATGGGCCATGCAGACGGCCTTAGCAGACTGCCCCTGCCGCAGTTAGAGCCCAACCCTGCTCCAGCCATGCGCATCCTGGCTATTCAGGACTTGCCTGAGTCTCCCCTTAACACAGGGGACGTGGCTGCAGAGATAGCTTCAGACACGACGCTGAGCTATATGCTGAACTGGGTGCTCACAGGATGGCCGGAAAATAGTCTCAGTCCTAATTTTCAGAGTTTCAGCAGGAGGAAGAATGAGTTGTCAGCCCACAGGGGGTGCATCTTGTGGGGTAGTCCTGAACTCACTGAGGACTAGAGTCTTGGAGTCTCTGCATGAGGGACATCTGGGAATAGTCCGGATGAAGGCACTCGCGCGAAGCTACCTTTGGTGGCCTGGGCTGGACAAAGATATTGAGGCTCAGGTACACAGCTGCCATATTTGCCAGCAATTTAGGCCAGAGATGCCCCATGCCCCTGTCCACCGATGGGAAACCACACACACCCCCTGGTCCAGGATCCACATCGATTATGCAGGGCCTTTCCAGGGACACCTCTTCCTCATTGTGGTGGACAGTCACTACAAGTGGTTAGAGGTCGCACCTGTCCCCACCATGACTGCTGCCAGGACCATACAAGAACTGCGCAGGATTTTTGCCACACATGGGTTACCCGATGTGATAGTTTCTGACAATGGGGCCCAGTTTACTGCTTCAGAATTTCAATCCTTTTTAAAGGCAAATATGATCAGACACGCCACATCAGTCCCTTTTCACCCGGCTTCAAACGGCCAAGTGGAGCGCCTGGTCCGAACAACAAAGGAATCCTTAAAGCAGATAGTCTCAGGTAACTGGCAACACAGACTGGCAGATTTTCTACTCTGCCAACGTACAACCCCATGCACTTCTACGGGCAGAAGCCCAGCAGAATTAAGATTGGGCCGACGTTTGATCACAAAGCTGGATCGCCTACATCCAGATAGAGTTGCCTCACAAGCAACACAGCCAAAGGCACCACGGCACTTGCAAGTTGGCGACCCGGTCTGAGCAAGGGGCACTGTGGGTGGTAGCTGTGGTTTGCAAAGGTGACTGGGCCACTTTCTTATGAAGTGGGCCTGGAAGATGGTCGTATGCACATTGACCAACTGTGGCAAAGGTTAGCAAACCAGCCAATAACTCATGACTCTAGTGACACTCAGGAGCAGCACGATGGCAGTAGTGCATCAGACTCTACCAGCAACGGTGGAGCTCTCCGACTAAGGGACGAGACTCAAGCGTCTGGTGAATCAGTCCCAACCACTGATACCACAACCAATGGACAATGCCAGCTGACGGCTCCATTTTCAGGATTGGTGAACTCTGTTCCACGTGTGGACACTGGCTTGGGCCTACCAGGACAGCCCAGCCACAGAGACTCGAGTCTACCCGTGATAGATGGGTCCCATAGCCCTGGTCTTCCAAGCCTGGCAGGCGAGCTGACAGACCAGGGCCCTCCAGCAGTTCCGAGGCGTTCAGAATGGGCAAAAAGGCCACCAATGTATTTAAGAGACTATGTTCAGCATATGATCTTATGAACTATCTAGGGGAAAGTATTGAGGTGAATTACTTGGAATTGTTGAAAAAAACGGTCATAAGACTCTGTCAGTTAAGAGCCAGACTTGCTGTCTACATGCTAATTATCTTGTGTTAAAGCAGGAACTAATACTTGAATCCTATTGGCTGCCATCTAGTGGTTGAGTGTATAAATAGGGGTGGAGCTGCAGTTATTCAGGCTTCTGTTTAAACCTTTAATAAAGAGTTGTTTGTTTACCTGTTGCCTCATCGATGCCTCACAGAACATCTAACATAAACGTAACTATTAACCACCTCTATAACAGTAATCTATCAACTTGTCAAAATTTCACTTTTTTTCTGTTTCACGCAGAAAGTCCAAAGTGGTTTCCAAGTAACCATAAAACTATTTACATTCTTGGTCCCTCATTAGTGCAGTCAACTTCGCCATCTCCACCAGTCCCATCATCTTTTCAATCCATTCCTCCATTGTGGGGATTAAGGCTTCTTTCCATTTCTGCACATATAGAATTCTTGCAGCTGCCAACATGTATAGCAACAAAGTTCCTTTTTTATCTAATAGTTCTGGAATAAAAGTTTCCATTGTAAATCTATTTTTAAAATCTTCTGTTTCCAATATTTCTTTGCCTTATCACATATCCACTACACTTCCAATTCCAAGAAACATTTGAAACAACCTTATGCTTCTTTGATAACTTATCTGGCATTAAATACCACTCATACATCATTTTATGAAAATTCTATTTAAGGTGTGAATTTCAGTCCTTTAGTTCACATATTTTCTCATTGCTCTAACATTATATTATAACCAAATTTTCTTGCCTATTGAATCATATAATGTTTAACATGTTTGCTTTTTAGGTTTAACTATAGAATCTCCATAGATATTTAACTATAACAGCATTTTTTAAACTTTAGCTATAAGATATTCATTTCAATTCATTTTTAGCATCTTCAAAACCACAATTTGTCTATCCAAAATAAAACTTTCTTTCAATTGTGGATAGGTGAACCAGTGACTGTATGACCTTCTACTTCCAAGTCTTCTTTTGTGGCTCACTGGCATCTTCTTTCTAAAAAAGGCTTCTTGGGCGACACCCCCCCAAAAAAACCTTTGCATTTAGTCCAAACTCTATAAATGGCATATCTTACAAAATGATTCTCGAAATCTGCCTGTATTTTAGCTTTATCATACCATAGACATGCGTGCTATCCAAATCCAGTAACCCCTTACTCTTTAGGGTCACCCATTCCAGAGGAGCCAGGCTCCTTGGAACAGGTTGCCAGTTTAAAGCAGGAAGCTGTCTTGTCTGGGTCTGCCACTGAAAGAGACCCTGTCCCAAATAAAATATGACATTGGGGACCCAATGAGAGACCACAGAGGTAGCCCTCAGAAACCTCTGCTGGGTTGCCTCTGAGAGGATGGAGAGATGAGCCTGGGCATGGAGTCTGGTCAAGGCAGCTTTGGCAACTGATACCAAATCTGTACACTTTGCAACAGAAGCAGGCAAATCTGAAT